CACCACATAAGCAAAAAGAAAAAAGCCGGAAGTGGCACTGAGGCTCAAGTGGTAGAGCACTAGCTTTGAGCTGAAGAGCTGAGGGACAGCGCCCAGGCCCAGAGTTCAGGCCCCACGACCGGATCAAAAAAAAAACCCAACAGATCATTTAAAAATTCTTATTAGTATTTTTCTTTATTTGACCATTAAATATCTCATTCCCCCTTCTCTATGGAGTGATATAATATAAATTAAAGAATTTTCCAGAGTTCCAGTATTGCACCTGGCTAGCGTGCGGTACTTAGGAGAATTTTCCTTTAGGTGAAACCCAGTAACTTTCAGATTTCAGTGATCTTCTTGGTAATGTTGTTTGCAATAGTTTAAAAACTGAACGTGAGCATGAAATAGAAACTTAACAAAGTGAACTTACTTAAATTCTATATTCTGTATAGGGAAATTACAGACTTGTTAGAATATTAATATGAAGGAACTTCCTTACCAAGTAGAAAATATTAATTTCACTTCCAATGTCTTCAGTGGAATTAATAACTTCAGGGATTGTCTCATTGGCCGAAATTGAAATATGATATTCACTTGCAGAGCTTAAGAAAATTAATTAGAAAATTAAAAGTAAAATGAAAAAAGTATAACTTTTACTTGATCTCATTCTTTCTTTCTACATACCATGTATACTTAATAGAATTCAAATCAGAGAATTATTTTAACTACATCACTCAAAATTAAATCTTTGAGGAAGAAGAGGATAATTATAAAATTTAGTTCAATAGTAATTGATACTATTTTGATCCTAAAACACTAGGCTATATGAGTTTTTTTCTTTTTTTATCATCAAGGTGAGATACAGTGGGGTTTCAGTTACATAAATAATGAGTACATCTTTTGTCAACCTTGTTACCCCTTCCCTCAATTTTCTCCCACTTCCCCCCCTACAAGCCCCCTAAGTTGTGCAGATCATTCCCAACATATTGTCTTGTGTATATCGCTGTTGCATTGGTCCCCCTTGTCCTTTGTCTCACTATTCTTTTGTTCCCTTTCCCTTCCTCAGTTCAAAGAAACCTATATACAATACCAGGGTACCAAAAACAAATACAGTAACAACAGAGCATATGCCATAGGGGGAAGAACATACAAAAGAAACAAAAAATCACATAGTATACTAAAAACAACAAAGACAAACTTCTTGTCTCCAAGTCTTGGAGTTCATTTCCCTTAGGACCATCTTATATGGTCATATGAATGCATAGTGATTGAGCTATTCTGCTAAAATTATCCTAGACATATACTAATGATTGCAAATAAGGGAAACCATGGGACCTATGTTTCTTTGGGTCTGGCTTACTTCACTTAATATGAATTTTTCCAGGTCTTTCCATTTCCTTATGAATGGAGCAGTGTCAATCTTTCTGATGAAAGCAGAGAATTCATATATATATATATATATATATATATATATACATACACATAAATGTGCATATAGAGATAGATATAATCACATTTTTTTTGATCCACTCATATCCTGACTGGCATCTGCATTGGTTCCATATCTTAGCTATGGTGAACAATGCTGCAATAAACATACTTGTACTGGTGGCTTTAATATTATTAACAAGTGAAAAGTTTCTGTAAATTCACTACCATTTACATTCAATGGTAAATCAGACTAAATTTTGACATTTCTGATAGGACTGAATTTTAACAAGGTGTTAAATATGTTTATTTTTAAAAATTAAAAATCCTGCATTTATTGCTAAACTTAAAAGTTCAATCTTCTCTGTATAGGAACTTAGTATAACTTAAGAACATAAGTTAAAGGAGCACTTTGGTCAAGAAAAAATGGATTTTAAAATTTTAGCCAGAATTTGATTTCAAGAAGTAAAAAACTAAGAAAATAAACTTTGTACTGATAGAAGTAGATAAAGGAAAATATAAAACTGACAACACTTGTTAAATGCTAAGGAATAGAAGTAATATATATGTTTACAGCCTGCAATCCTCAGCTTTCAGTCTCTTATTAGTAAAGATAGGGGCCACAGAAAATAAATGATAGGTCTGGGTGCTGGTGGCTTATGTCTATATTCTTTGTCTATATTCTATATTGGTGCCAGCCAAGGCAAATTCTTATCTTCAAATAATCATCCCAAGTGGTACAATACTCACCATGAGTGAAAAAGAAAATAAGTGAAGATATGTAGACTAAGTGGAAATATTCAGTAATTCTGTACATTTTTGTAACATTATGCATACCTATCAAAAGCTTACAGTTGTGATGAAGCAATGGCATTTATATAAAGTTTCAACATTATTTGTATTTGGGTAGGTCCATGTAAATAAGAAGTTCTTAAGACCATACTAAAGCTACAAGCACAACTATGTTTATTGCAGCATTATTTACCATAGCTAAGATATGGAACCAACCCAGATGCCCCTCAGTAGATGAATGGAACAAGAAAATGTGGTATATATACACAATGGAATTCTATGCCTCCATCAGAAAGAATGACATTGCCCCAATTGTTAGGAAATGGAAATACTTAGAAAAGTTATGATAAATGAAGTAAGCCAGGCTCAAAGAAACATAGGTCCCATGGTTTCCCTTATTTGCAAAAACTAGTATATGTCTGAGACAAGCGGAAAAGGTCAGATAAGATGATGTTAGGCAAAATGAACCCCAAGATAAGGATTCAAGTGGTTTTTCTTTCTTGCTATTATTTCTAACATATTTATAAGATGATTTTTTTGTTGCTTTGTATGTCCCTCCCCCATGATATAACCTCTGTTATTTACTGTATTTGATGTTGGTATAATTTGGGGAGGGGAATGGAAAAACCAATTTGTTTAAATAAGGATACAGATTGACCCATTGCAACAATGAGATGCACAAGATGCTGTGTCAAAAAATGAACTTTACTATTTAGGTGGGGATGGGGGGTGAGGTGGGGCGGTAGCTGAGGAGGTGGGAGGGAAGGGATGGTAGGGGAAAAACAAAGGAGGAGGCAACAATGTTGGATAAGAAACGTACTTATTACCTTGCTCATGTAACTGTAACCCCTTTGTACAGTATTTTCACAATAAAAACTTAATTTAAAAAGAAGCTCTTAAGAGAAAGAATGGTTTATGAATAGTGAAAGAAATAGATCATGAATAAGCAATGTTTTAATCTGTGTATTCTGTATAGTCAGGCTAATAAGATCCCATGATTGGCAACCAGTGGCCAAGAAATACAGTGGTGATCTCTTGGATAGCTTTGTGTTTTGTAAAGGACTCCTAGGTCTTTGATTTGCATTTGGGTGTAAAGACTAGCTGCTAATGCAATCCAGTATCACTAGCCCCTCATATTTTGAGTTATGTAGTGTATATGTGAGAATTAACCTGGAAGACATATTCCTCAAGGATGGTGGGCATCATTCCCAGAGGTTCTGGCTCAGCTGGCCTGGGGTGGGCTGGAAAACTTGCCTCTAATCTATTCTCAGGTGATGGCCACAGACCACTCATCGCGAAGCATCTGATTAACAGAAAGGCATCGTTTTCTCCTACCTGTAAAACTGTAGTCCAACTTCATATTTTACTGGGATAGAAATATTGACTCCATTATCAAAAAGAGATTCAGCAGGCTCTTCACTGTCACTGAAAACCAGACAATGCATTCAAACAATCATTCACCTTGTCTGTTTAGAGACAATTCTAAGCATTCAAAAGAGGTTATATTCACAATTCTTGAATTTTTATTTGTTTTTAATTAGGGTGAGTAAGGAAGCAAGAGATAAGCATTACTGAAAATTCCCAAGTTGATTCTGATGTGTAGCTACAGTTGAAACCACACTGACCTAACCTCACATTCCTCAGAAGTCTGTGACTGAAATGGTGAGCCCCACTACACGTCACTGCTACATTATCCAGCTTACTGTGCTTATGTATATTTACTTGGTTCAAGTTGAGCACCAAGAATTTGTGTTTGGAACACAAACCATTACAGGCTTTTGCATAGACTTTGTAATAAATGATGACTAAATGGCCAATCAGTGTAAAGCACTTATTGTATTTAGAATGTAAGATAACATTAAAAAGGGTTAGATTTTATTATTATTGTTGTTGTCATACACTCTCTAGCAACTAATTAACTACCTAGCACAGTGTTACAGAATGGGCACTGAATACTCTTGATGGCTCTGCTTCTTCCCAAGTACATACAGTAGCCTGCCTGGTGTGAACAGGGCAGGGAATGAAGCATGCTGACTTGGCCATGGGCATAGCTGTGACTGAACTCTAAGTATGAATGATGGGTAGCATTCTCATTCATCTATCCCATAGTGTAGTGTAGTATGTGAAATTAACCTTCATAATGTGATTTATTCTTCAAAAACTTTCTAATATGTCCAGTCCTTTTCCATCAAGACCAATTTTCTTTATATTGATGCCCAATATGTAGTATTATATGGTAGAATGCATACTTCTTGTTTACTTCCCATTAGTATCTTCTCTATTCCTTGTTTCAGCTAAAACTGATTACTCCAGGTAGGTCAAAATACACAATCGTGTATCTTGAGTATTTGTTCAATCTATTTATTTTTCCTGAAAATATTCTACCAAATCCTAAAATCCAACCTTTCTGTGTAACACTATTCACGTTTTAAGGTTATTTTCAATTACATTTTCTTATTAAAGCTTTATGTGTTTCATTGACCAATAAGTACAATTTCATTCTCCACTAATTGAACCTCTGACACATGATTTATATATCTCCAATGGATTTTCCTTACTTTCTTTTATATTATAATAATTTGTACATTAGTCTAAATATCCTACTGTAATATTCATCTGTGAGAATTTTTGTGTCTTTAATCATTCTTATATTTCTTTTTTTTTTTTTGGTTGGGTGGGGGGCCTGAACTCTGGGCCTGGGCACTGTCCCTCAGCTCTTCAGCTCAAAGCTAGTGCTCTGCCACTTAAGCCAAACGCCACTTCCAGCTTTTTTCTTTTTGCTTATGTGGTGCTGAGGAATCGAACCCAGGGCCTTGAGCATGCAAGGCAAGTGCTCTACCACTGAGCCACCTTCCCAGCCCCCTCTTATATTTCTTATAGTGACTAACACAATACCTTGCCCACAATAGATATCAAATAAATACTTGCTGAGTTAGATTAAACTGAATATGCAGAAATAATTATCTATGAATTCATTTCTCCCATTTGTTCATTTACTCTCCACTGACTTAATGAGTATAATACATAGGCACTATGCTAGTTACTGGAAATAAAACAACCAAGATAAGATTTGATCTTTCCTGATGATGGTGCAGTGGATCCTTCTACTTAGAAGAAAGCTAACCCATATCTCTATTTCCTTATGACCCACCTGCTGTTTTTAGTGCACATGTTCTAGGATAACTTTAAGAAGCTTTGGCTGATATGGGTAAAATCTACTAAACTACAAAAGATGTAACAAGATTTTAAGTCCATCATCAATTGATCTTGTTGGCTGCCAGTCAAAGTTGTAAGATGAGCTGATTCTGTTGAAATAAAATGGACTTTGGTACATGTAAGTTTTGTGTGATTATATTATGTTCTATACTGTATATAATCAATGCTTTAATACAACTGATTATTTCTATTTAATCAGAATTTCCTTATTTTTGTCCATGACTTATAAGGACATTTGTTTGAAGTAAAGTGGTACATGGAATTTTTCTGCCAGTAACTCCATAAGGTAACATATCTTAGTTACATGGGAGAAATTTACACAAGGCATATATGTCTTCACACACATAAACCAACCTTGTTGCACTTAAATGAATGGTCACATTTTCCATGAGATATGATGTATTAAACTGAAATAATATTTTGAAAGTTACCTATGAAATAAAAATATATATCATTAGTAACAGATAAAATGTTAAACTCTGATTCAAACATTCAGTTTATTTAAATGACTGACCCAAGTTATAAGGTTATTTCAGAAAGATTATCTTACAAAATGCAGCCTCAAGTCAGGAACACAAAGAATTAGATATGACACACAATGGTGCTTTGACCGGTGAATATGGGATATGCTTTGTCTATTACTATGGTCTGAATGTTCCAAGTCCCTTCAGAACTCATGTGCTGAAACTGAATGGCTAATGTTAAGAGGATAAGAGATTGGGCTTTTCTATAGGAGATTAAATCATGAGGGCCATGTGAATAGGACTCATCAAACCCTAAAATTCTCCTTTTCCCTTTCGCCATTTAGCATGCAGCAAGAAGCAAAGTGACGTCCCCAACCACATACTGCATCTGCTATGATCTTGATCTTGGACTTCTCAGCTCCATAGCTGTGAGAAGTAAATTCCTCACTTACACACTGTTGTGTGATCATGTCACATGATGGTATAAAATGTAAGCGCTTTATCAAATAGCATTAGCAAATGTCACTTATATGCCACAGTCCATCATCACAAAAGTACAGCTCATTTATTTTATTACCACAGCTTACCAAATCATCATAGTAAACATAATTGTGACATGGTCACAAATGAAGCCTCTTTAATGTAGAAAGTTTAAGTACCAACAAACATTGACCTGTATTTATTATAAAATAGGGAAAAATATAGTTAGAGCCATTAATCTATACTTTAAAAAAGTGCAAGGACCACTAAAGATTAACAATAAGAAAATGATACCGAAGTCTTAGCTATTTAGAAAAAAGTTCAAATTATAATTTCAAAAAGGGAGTTTTGCTTTTGAAGTTTGTATAGCTAAGATAATACTTAGAAAATTAAAAATGTCATGCAGACTCTGTGATATAGGGAGCAGCTTTTTGATAAACCAAACCTGAACATGATCCTAGACTCTTGACAACTGGCAGACCATAACTAAGTTATTTACTGAAAGAAACTTGTCTAGATCCAGAGAATTATATTCCTTGGTCTCAGAATTAAGTCTTACTTTGTGCAAACCAAAGAATTTTGGAATTTGCACCAGTAAAACAGAGAGTAAAAAATGTAAAATGAATGACAAATATCTAAAATTTTATCTCCGTAATTAAGTGCTACATAGAGAAGGTTTGATAACCATAGCTCTTGAAATCGATCTAGGCGCCAGTCTGCAAAGGAATAACTAGAGTCACAAAGAATTGCCTTTTGCATTTTCTTCTCTTTCAAAAGAAAAATATATTTTAAGAATTGCAAACTCTTCAGATTGTCCCCTTGCTTTGGGATAGTAATCACCATTCTAGTAAGAGCTTTACTTGATGGCTTGGACTATAATATACAAAAGGTGAAATTGTCTCGGTGGCTCAGTAGGCTCCCCTGTCCTGGTCTTTGTTTAACTCCCATGACTAGCATGGCAGTGCAAGTCTTTGAATTCTTGATAAGATTTTGCCTTTAGGGAAAGATAATTAGCAGAGCAGTGGGCTTGAAGAAGTTGCTTATTTATATTCACCTGATTCTAAAATGCTTACATTGAAAATCTCCATCCACAAAAAATATTTTAAGCATCAAACATTTCTTGTATACTGTTTTCCTATGGATAACATAAGCGATTCTTTGACTTAAACTTTTACAAGTAGCAAAAATGTACTGAAGAGAAGAAGAAAGTTAAGAAATGTAGTGAAGGCCTAGCCTTTTCTCAAATGGTGTGGGAGGGCTGGATACCCATACGCAAAGCATGAGCTGTACTGTGTTTATACCACAATGGCAAAAGGATAAAGTATATGAATTGACAACATCAAAGTTAAATACTTTTGCCCTTCAAAGGAAGATACTTGACAGAATTTATAGGTCATATACTTGAAAAGAGACTTTAATGTAAAATAACAGGAAACTAAAATATAATGATAAACAAAGAAAACCTAATTTAAAATGGGTAAAGGATGGTCACAGACAGTTAATTATTAGAGAGTAAAAAAAAAAACATGATTAGACATCACTTCAAATACACCAGAATAGATGTAATAAAAAAGACTTCAATAATGTGGAGAAATTGGAACCCTACCCATTGCTGGTGGAAATGTAAAGTGGTTTATCCATTTGTCCACTATAAATTTTGTCTTGACTCATACAGTACTTGGCTTCTGATTGTGTATAAGTTTGTTTGAACTGCTATACCCAAATACCTTATGTTGACTAATTTATAAACAACTGAAATTTATTGCTCCAAATTTTAGAGACTGAGAAGTCTAAGATCAAAGGACCAGTAGATTTGGCATCTGATTAAGACATGATCTATAGATCATGTCTGTTGTGTGACCTCATTTGGGAGAAAAGTCAAAGAATCTTCCTTGGTCCTCCTAACCCCAAAGGCCCCATTTCACAGGATTATCACTTTGGGGATTAAGTTTCAATATATGGATTTTAGGGAGACACAAACATTCAGATTATAGCATATTTCAAGTTTCTTTTTTGTTGTTGTTGTTGGTCATGGGACTTGAACTCTGGGCCTGGATGCTGTCCCTGAGCTCTTCATCTCATGGTGAGCACTCTGCCACTTGGGCCACAGCACCACTTTCAGTTTTCTGGTGGTTTATTGGAGATTAGAGTCTCACGGATGTTCTTGCCTGGGCTGGCTTTGAACTGCGATCCTCAGATCTCAGCCTCCTGAGTAGCTAGGATTACAGGTGTGAGCTACCAGTGTCTGGCTCAAGTTGCAATTTTTAAAAATGAAACTTTTTCATCTATATGACCCTAAATTATCATCCAAAAGATTTACTATTAGGCCTTGAATGTGTTACATTTTGTAACTAGTTGCTTCATGGATTTTATATAATCTGCTCACCATTTCTCCTGTTCTCAGAAAAGGATAGCCAACTTTACATGTGAGATTATGACTGGATTCACAACTGTCTTTTTGGATCCCCTAGAGAGAGAAAAAGTAAACAATTAGAGCAGAGAAATGGGAAACGCTTGAACTTATTTTAGAATTTCCCCAGCTGTGCTTTAGGGAATGGCTTTGCCAAGATTTCTCGCTCAGTTTAGATGAAGGAGTCATAACACTCTGGGGACCACCTGTTCCACAGCTTCTGGAAATCTGGAAACATCACTTGAGGGTGCCAAGAAGATGAAGCACACCTCTCTGGCTTGCCTAAATGCTTGGTTGGAAAAAATGAGACCATTAACGTCACCTACCTCCCAGGCTCGCATAGACGATATGACACAAAGCAGTGCTCGGAGAGTCTAGAGCTTAGAGGAGTTTAGTGTAGTGGGTGACCTGTCACCACCTCACTGCTCGGGACCTCGTTTTCTATGTCCTCAATCTTAAACATGTCATTGGACATGAGATACACCATTACTCCATAGACCAGTAAGAAGGAAAAACAATGTTGCCACTTAAATAAGTATGCTATCAACTGGAAAATTCAATTGCAGGAATGTTAACATGTGGAAAAATAGTTTTTCAGGCTTTTGATACACAGTAATATCTAATTTTTAAAAGAACCAGTGAAAATTAAATACAGGAAATCTTTAAAATAATACCTCACATGTAACGTAACTCAAGAAAGTGTACAGTGGCTCTCAACTGTAATCCTAGCTATTTGGAGGCAAACATTCAACCAACTAAAAGTTTCATGTGGTGATATGCATGTGTTTTCTTAACTATGTGGGAAGTCTAAATAGGAGGGCCGTGGACCAGTCAAACTGGTTTATACCCCGAGACCCTATTTGAAATAACAGGCAAAAATTATAGATGCCATAGCTTAAGTGGTAGAATCCCTGCCTAGCAAATACAAGGCAATGATTTCAAACCCTCACAATTTTCTGTGTAATTATTGTTGTTATTGTTTTTAAAAGTAGAGGAGGTACACTGTTGGTTTTATTGTACTGCCTCTCTTCTGAAGTCCTTAGTCAGTCAGAGAGGACATAAGCAATGATTTCGAACATAGTACTTTTTTTTACAGATACTTCAACATTACTTTGCACTTATATTTTGCATGGATATAACTACTTCACTTTCATAATTAAGATTCTGAGTCCAAAATATGCTTTACTACATAAAATACAATTTATATACTATATAAAATATGTCTCAGTTTCATGTCTCAAGTGATATCCTGAAAAATGAAAAAATACCAGTGAAAATCTGAATTTAAGAGTACTAGATGACAATGTCTTAATACTATGTACACATGCATTCTTTTGCTGTTCTGAGGATTAACCCAAGGCCTTATGCAAGCTAGAACATCACTCTATCATTGAACTACACCTTCCAGCCAGAACTGCTTTTAAAATACAAATCATATATTAGTAGCTCATATCTCATATATCTATTTATCTATATCTATCTATACCTGTATATTTATAATTTTAACTTAAGGAGGTTCTTCTAGTGATAAGAATTAAATGCATACTTCAAATTTAGACATATTACTGACTCTAATATAGCACCTTTTACAGATGCATGCTCTTGTCAAATTAAACATTTTAGAGACTTACATTTTTGGCAAAATATTTTTTTAAAAACCCTTCTGCTATAGTCACTTAGAAATATTTTGCCAGCGGGAAAAAATATCTTGATTTTTCTGCGTGTAATTTATTTTTTCCAGCACACAAGTCTCTGCTCCTGTGTTGAATGTGTCTTATTTTAGTTGTTATATTTTTATTTTCTTAACTCCAGTGTCAATGAATAACTTGGTGAAGCATTCAATTTTGACATATTAGCTATCCTTTGCTATCCAGAATCTAAGTAAAGATATATATCTCCAAAGAAATTAAAAAAGCTCTCTCTCTCTCTTTTTTTGTCGGTTGTGGGGCTTGAACTCTCGGCCTGGGTGCTGTCCCTCAGCTTTTCAGCTCAAGGCTAGCGCTCTACCTCTTGAGCCACAATGCCACTTCCAGTTTTCTAGTGGTTAATTGGAGATAAGAGTGTCATGAACTTTCCTGCCTGGGCTGGCTTTGAACTGTGATCCTCAGATCTCAGCCTCCTGAGTAGCAAGGATTACAGGTGTGAGCCACCAGCGCCGGGCTTAAATTTTTTTAAAAAGCAATAGCTTCATTATCATTAAACTAATTTTGTACAAAATTCATTTTCTTACTCTAAATAAATCCTAAAATAAAAGCAAGTACTTCCACAATATGACAAGTAGGTTCAATGCTTGTTAGGAGAATAAATAAATGGAAAAGTGCAGGTTTACCTCAATTCCTGAGAAAATGAGATTCGGAGAATACTGCACAATTGTTCTGGTGTTATAGGCACTGTCCCTTTTGTTCCTGACAGTGAGGCTGACATTGAACTTGTCGCTCTGTGACCTGACAACAAGCAGGTCTTTCTCTGTGGTAGTTACAGCCAGGGTGAGGTCTGTGATACATTTTTCCTTGTTTCCACAATCTTTGGCGAAGGGAATCTGAAATGATTGTGTGAAATGTATCTCAAAGTGGAGTTAAGCCTTGTAGAAAATTACCTCTCAATTTGTGTAACGGAAATGGCATAGTATCAAAAAGTCAGTTAAGCAACCTTCAAGAGAGTTGATTATACTGCAGTCTGAAGGACTTATGTATTATTCCTGTACTTTATGGAGGGAAAAGGATGCACTTTCACTTGTAGATACTGAGTTTTTTCTATTCCTTTTAAGAATATAGTTTTCAAGGACATTTTACATTGGCATTATCCTGTGAGAGAATACCAGTTTTTTTTTTTTTTAAATCCAGGTCAAGTTCTACTTAACTCTCACTATGAGATTTTCAACTGAAAAGAATCAAATACTTGAGAATGTCATAAAGGTCCTTCAGTGAGGTGGGAAGTAGTCAAACTGCATTTGGAAACTTCACTTGTTTCTTCTTGTTAAGCCCCATTATGTAGTTCATCCTAAGCACTATTTCTTTCCTACCTCATTCACTAAATATGTCCCAAGTCCTTTTGCACTTCTCTGTGTGTTACCTGAGTTAAAGCAACAGTCTACTAGCTGTTTTCCTGTATCCAGTCTTCCTTCCCTTCCATCGTTCTCCATATTCTAGCTGAAATAATCCTCCAAAAATATACATTTGGGTCCATCACTGAACCAGATTCATGCCTTCAGCAGCACTGCACTGCTCTTTAATTTGTTTAGCTCATGTGGTGGCAGCAAGACCTGAAAGACTTCACTCCTGCCTCACCTCCAGTCCCACCTACATCACTCTAACGAGTATAGTTCAGCTTCGCCAGCGCCTCAGAGGGCCTTCATCTCCCCTCACCCTTGTTCAATTCCAATGTCACAGCTACAGAGAGTTCTTCCTGAGTCCTGAGCCTGGGAAACTGACTCCTGACTCCTCCTGACTCCAGAGCTTGAAACTCTGAAATTCTCCTCCATAGCACAGGACTTACTTCACTTGGTTAATACCTAATTGCTAGCTTAATTCCTAGTTCTCTGTCTGGTATGTATAAGACAATAAAGACATTTGAAAGGTTGAAAGGGAGAGTGAAAGATGGATCCAGAATACGAATTTGTCACTTCTAAGGTTTTCTCTCTTGCTGCCCCACTGTGGCACCCTCTTCCCTCTCTGGCATGGGGCATTAGACTCTGACTTTGAAGCAAGGCTGGGGAAATAAGTTCAGTTCCTTTTCATTCCTCTGTTCTTAGGCTGCGATGTACTCAGAGGAAGAAGACATGATGCTTCGCTCTTTCACTCTTTGAGTTTTATGAAACAAGCTTCCACAAAGAAGGCTGGAGATGGATCTTCCCTGCTGATAACCGGTTGGTTGTTCATGGTCCAAATCCAAGGTTAGCATGAGGACACCTTTCACCCCTAGACAGCTCCACAATCTAGTGCCTATTATACAAAGGGGTGGGATTCATTTCAATTGACCCTGAATTTAGATGAACTAAAGATTGATACCATTTACTATTCCTGTAAGCTTCTACAATAGAAGTTAAAAGGATTAAAAGAACAGAAGAGTCTAATTCCTTATACATAACTGATATAAGGATATATGCTTATGATTTTAGGCATTTTTTTCCTCTAATATATTCACAAGTCGGCACTGTGAATTTAAACAAAAATCTGACTTACATGTTCATGTACCGAGTTTGGTAGAGAATCATCAAGAACAGGCCCATTTTCTGGATCAGTGAGATTAAAATCCAAAGTTATCCTCACAGAATCCTGGAAGTCATGCTTGTCCTAAAAGTTGAAAGATGTATACCGTTGGCATTGCCTTCACCCAATATTCGGATCTTACTGTGGCTTCATTGTGCCTCTGTGAGTCACTGGGACATTCTCATGCATCTAATGTGATAAGCTGGTGTGGGATGGCCCTCCTGCTTGACGGAGGACACCACTGGAAAGCAGAGGGTTCAGGGTATGATCCATTGTCTCACCTCTACCTCCTCAGGGGGGTCTGATGGAGTGACAGGACACCCCGAGCTGCTGGCATACAAGGCTGTTTCTATCAAGAGCTCAAGCTAAAATTCACTTTTGAAATTTATGTCTCTCAAATTCCGCAGGGAAAACATTTTTAAGTGAATTGTATTTCAATATAGGATAAATCTAGAACTATAATAATTTCAGAATATCAACTGATACACAAATGGTTTGAATATGATTAACAATGTCAGTTATTCCAGCAATGATCATCATTCATCATGATCAAATTTGAGAAGGTTAAATACTTTACTGTGCATTATTTTGATAGTCCTGTAAGATGAGTAACTATTATGGTTCTTATTTTACAGATGATACATTCAACCTCTAAGAAAAAAAAATGACCTTACTGAAGTCATTTAGAATGGAAGCTAGAATACAAACTCCATCCCTGTTGCTGGACACATACTAACATGTCCATTACAATCAAAAGGAATTTTTTTAACAGCAGTCACCAGACACAGTGTAGACACTGACATGATTTCACATGTGTTTGGTGCCCATTAAGTTTTAAACAAGTTCTAACTCTTAAATGCTCTGTTATAATGAACTAAGAAGGGATAACTGGTTTTGCTTCTTCCTATTATAAATTGACCTCACTGTGATAGAGTAAACTGAGATGTTTCATGTGGAATACTGACATGAAAATTACTGAGCAGGAATATACCAGATAGGGGAATCTCAGGGTGGTCATTTTCTGTCATTCTTCTGTCCCTAACTGTAAATTTCAAAACACAGAATATAAATACATTAAGAATCCAGAAGTCAGTCAGAGACAGGAATCCCAGCATCATGTTCAAGTCTTTTTAAGTTTTATTCTTGGTACTAAAACCACCACCCAATTTGGATACATTTTTTGTTATAATTAATATTGTACATAGTTAAAAGAAAATGTTTTAAGAAATTCCTGCCTTTGGCTGGGCATACAACCTTCTCTACAAAGAAATCATTAGAGATGAATAATTTGCTTTCTAAACCTCAGTACCCACTCATTTAAAAAGTTGAAGTAGCACAAAGCCCGAGAGGGTAAAAAATAGCAGCTTTTCCTCCCTTAATCTAAAGTCAGAGTACAAGACATGTAGTTCAATGGGCCTCAGAAAGAAGATAAGACCATTTGTCCTCTGGACCATGAATCATTTATCACATTCACTGCTGCTTGAGACCTACAGAATTGCACCAACATATTTAGGTTAAAAGAATACATGAATGAAGAAATGCATAAGCAATACGGCCTCTTGTCAACTGGTGCACTAGGTCTTTCACTGTTCTATGACAAATGAATATCTGATACATACAGGGGAAATTTTTCATGGAAATGAAAAATCGGACCTGCAATTTTCTGATAAGAGCGAAAAAAGTCTGCTTTATGGTGTGCACTTTTGAAATCCAACAGAAAGAACTTGATAGACTTGAAATAAGACCTTTCTACCGTACGCTTGATTTGGAATGAGGCAGCTACAATACATGATTTACTTGCCAACATGTAGAAGGAGTGCTTAGTACATTCTGAGTCTTGGACTGTGATGTTTCTTTGGATCCTTCTGTCTTGGGTTCCGGAGAAAAAACTTCGTGATATCTGTCTTAATGAATCTAAAGTGACACGGTACTGCATATCTTCAGAGGTACACAAACAAAATATGGAACAAAATTAAAATGAAAGAAACATTAACAGAAATGTTTACTGGGGAGTGATTTTCATATGGTTTAATTTATTAAATTAGCACTGTCAGATAGACAAAGTGATCTTATTATTTTGTATATCGCCATCACTGTAAGGAAGGTATTATTAGCAGCCACAAAAATAACTTTGAAGAACTCTGGAGAACTCATCTGTGAATTCACTAAATACTTAATATTTAATTATAGTAACTTTCAACATGTACTCATACACACATAGTGACATGCACATGTGCATACACATAACTAATTTAGTGACCATGTCTGTGGCTTCCAACATATTTCCTAGTTTAGAAATATTGGAACATTATAAAAAATATTGGTTACATATTTCCTTAATTTCAAATATATTTGAATAGAGTTAAAAATAGACTTTCCATAGATATTTTTCTATTTTTTAAAGAAAAAGGCAACACCATAGATTATGTTCAAGGCACTATTAACTTCAGTAAAGTAAGTATACCACAATAAAAAATAGTCTTGTATTCATATGAAGGCCACAATCCTTATTTCATTGCTTTTTTAAAAAATAAAAATTAAATATAGTGTAGCATATGAAAACCTAAATCATTAGTTGACATCCCTATGTTTCACTTATCTTCTAGTCAGAGAATTATGTCAGAGAGTATCTATATGCACATATATAATTTAAGAAAGCAAGATTTTAAGAATTAATGTTTTTTTCCCTCTCTACTTATATTTAGTTGACAGAGGAAATTACTCCTCTCAGTCAAAGCTATGAAGAGCTTTGACTCCAGTGTATTTCAGTGTCATTTAAAAAAAAACTGCCTTACAATGAGAAATACTGAATATAGTATAGGAGGGGAACACACAGGCTGACACATGCACCTGACACCTCCACACCAAGGAAGGCCAGCTCTCAAAGAGGAACTAGCCTTCTCAAGGAAAAGTACCTGGAGACAGCAAAGTATTCAGATCTTACACAGTACCAGTGTTCCCCAGGAGGGGGCAGGAGATGGAAGAAGATTTTTGTGAAAATCCACTAGAAGGAAAAATGACACATTTTGATCCTATTTCAAATTGCTATCTCTGAATTACCATACGTATGTATGCATATATAATTTATAATATATACACAAATAGGATGTTGCATATAATTCCTGCAATAGAATTTACTAGGTTTTATATCCTGTTCCTTTATAACAGAACTGTTTTTAATCTTCAGTATTACCAGACAAACATATTTCAATCCCTGTGGCTGAGGAAAATGTAACATTCCACTAGATTTTACATGCCAGCCAGAGCAAATATATTATCCTTATCACCAAAGTACTTGCTGTAATTATTATGCTTACCAGCTTTGTAAACAGAGTCTTCTTTAGACTTTAATTTCACATCAAAACATATTGTAGCATTTATACACACTGTTTCCTTTCCCTCCATATGGCAGTTTTTCTTTTGAATATTCACTTTATTAGGTTCAAAGTTCATGGTCACTTTAACCACAGCCACATCTCGAGACCTAGTACCACAAAAAAATAGGAATTGCTCACACCTTTTTGCACTGGATGCATGCTATCAGCTTGTGAGGGCTATGTTAACTTCTGGAAATGATTTTCCTTTATTTACCATTTTTGGCACAGAGGAGAGACTGTATCTTATGTTCTGAAAACACTCACGTTATTTTCGAAACTTCATTGGGTTCGAAGGCCAAAGATTTAGTTTTGCTTTTAATGGAAAAGAGATGGAACTGAATTCCCAGAAGCAAGCCCAGAATCAAAACTATCTTTTACAGACCTCTGCATTTCCCCCCAATTTTGAAACACCTAGAAAACTAGTGGAACCTAGCTAGTTTTCAACTAGAATGTAATAGTTGTTTGTCTTTGTGAGTTCAATTCTGTCCCTGTTTCTAGAAAGAAGAAGCAGTATAATATTTGAGTGTGCATGTTTGTTATTTCATTTGCATATTATCTTAAATAATAAGTACAGTAGTCACCTTTTATCCATAATTTTGATTTTCTCAGTTTCAGTGAGGTTTATGCTGTCCTTTTAACTCTATAAGAAACTGCTTATGAATATTCTGAGAACATTGTCATTAATGGCAGTCTGCTATAGTAGCACATAAATATACCAGAACATAAGAATTCCATCACCTCTCATTCTTTACATTGAAAAACTAGTTGTTAAATACAGAGCTGTGATGTCTGTAAACATTTTATATCTTTATAGTCAATAATTATAACTTTAAATTTTTACAAAGTAAATTCCTTGTGAATAAACAGAACATTTTAAGGTTTGAAATACTTACTGACAAAGACCATCTGCATTCTGACTAGTTTATATCTCATCATCAATGAATGAGCATGGCTGATTTGCTATTTAGTAAAACAGATCTTCACTCATCATTGCCTTGATCAAAGTTCACTTACATAGCCTCTCATGACCCAAGTGGATCTTTATTAGAACTGTGGCTCAATCTAGTATATGTGGCTAAGCTCTCATTATCTCCTCTTGGATCTTTTTTTATGGTCTCTGCTCATTACCTGTCATCTGTATGCTGTTTCTATCCCTGCTTAAGTACTGCAAAATTTCATCTTTAAATCCCAGAATCCTTCTTGAATTCTCCTGCCAATAGAACCTGGGTTATAAGAGAGACAATTTCTATTGCTATGAATCAAGTCAAGGAACCAAGTCAATTAACACTGAAAGCTGTGTGCAACTCAAAGTTAGAGATGTTTGCTTGTTTGTATACTTATTTTTTTAAAAGAAGCCTTCTCTTTCAGTACAATTTCCCCAAAACAATATCTATTTTATTATTAAGTATATAATAGATGACCAAATTAAGAGTCATTCTACTCATCCTTTCCATATAACTTCTGGGTTCTTGAGACTCTGATTTTTCCCACTTGGTGAAATGAGAAACTTGTATCTCCATGAAGAAGTGAAATAGAAATAGACATATAGTATGGCCAAAGCTCCAATCATACTGTGAGCACTGAAACTATCTGTGAAATGCCATCAGATCAATCACATATTATAAAGTACATACCAGAAGAGGGCAGCACCGCCAAGGCCTCCAATAGTCACATCAGTCAGACCATCGTCATTCAAATCCATTTCTCCATGTATAGACTGGCCGAAAAATTTCAGTGTCTTGCCATCCCCACCTGAAGGAATACGCTGTGAGAAATGCCAACAGAGAGTTTTATGTCAGAATGTCTGTTCAGAATGAATATGATATGAAACTAGATTGGCTGACAGAAAAAAAAAGATCGTTTAGGAGCCAAGAGGCTCTCCATGTAGAGACAAGAGGAAATATTCAGATATTCCCAGAGGACATTGTTCTGTTAATAGTACAAGGACACCAGAGAAAGGGGAAATAATTGTATAATATCATCCTGTGTAACATCTGAGGGAACTATTATGAGTAACTGTCTCTGCTTTCTACTTACTTCTCAATTCCAAGACATAAAGCTATTTAAACATTCTGCAAACTTTGGGACCAGATCATGTAAGCAAGCAATTGGAGAAAAGGAAGAGTGGATAGGAGTTCATTTGCTAGGTGAAAGGTATCAACATGGATTCACTGAACTTTGTGACTAGGTATAATCACTCTGTCAAATACACTGCATTAAATACATTTTCCAATATGCAATCTTCTTCACTGTGGTTCAAAAGTGTCTTGAAAGTTACAGTCAAAATAGCTCTAGCTTTACTCATACCTCTTACCCACTCATATCTATACACCTGTAGGGGACACAGGGGAATATGGAGTTCTTGGGGGCTACTCTGAGCATATAACCTTGCATGATATGTGTGATGTCTGCACCTCTTGACTCAGTGTTGGTGCCAGTTGATATTGTTTTGATAGAACCTGACATCAAGAAGAACAGACTGACAGAAACTCCTACATCTGGAGTACTCTCATCATCTTGATTTTCTATTAAATAACATAAAATAAAACACCAAATCAGACTGGCCAAATGGAAATAATTCTCATGTTTTAAATTTTGTGTCTCTTTGGGAATTATGGCCACTTTTTTCAGTGGGAGAGAGAGAGAGAGAGAGAGAGAGAGAGAGAGAGAGAGAGAGAGAGAGAGAGATCTGTCTTGTTAATCCTGAAGGAATGATTCAATTTGATTCAAGTTGTACACCAGCAACACATCTGATTCCTATGGAAACAATTAAGCATATCTTCATCTATTCCTTTAGAAAACATTTTTGCTAATAAGTAAACAAATCTAATATTTGGTTGTGGTATTCTTGTTTAAAGCTGCACCTTGATTTACCACTATTTCGTTAGAACTTGTTTGTGACACATATTCCTAAGTGATTAAAAACATTCTCTATGTCAAATGCTATTCTACTAATGTTGAAGGATTAATACAGAGGAATAAAGCAATGGAACACAAGAGAGAAGTCTCTAGATGCATTTCCTGGTTCCATCATGCCTAACCACTGATACTGAATGCCTTTCGTTAAATACATAATGCTATGACTATCACTAACAGAAACAAACCATTTATCAAGTGGATGAAAGTATTGTTAGTGACATTGGCTCTTTATTTTATTCTCTATTAATGCTGCTATGGCATTATGAAAGTTAAACACAACTTTACAATATATGAATAGGGCTTGAACCAAAGAGACTACTTGGATGTAAAAAGAAAGAGCGAATGTTCTGAATTCTTTTCATGGCTAATAAGCTAAGTGTTGAGATATATTTTATTCATAAGTAGTTATTTAATGCCTAACCATTATTATATAAAACATACAATCACAGTAGAATTCTTTTAAGCTTTTTTGTTTTTTAATACTGCATGAGCCATTTCTGTGAATTAATATTTTTTTGTATGAAGAAATTAAATTTATAGATTAGAATTATTAGCTGAAAAGAAATTTAAAACACGAATATCAGAACACCCTGCAGGTTAGTTTTAATTATTCATTCTCCCACCAAGGGCTATTTGTGAGAAAATTATAGACCTTCAGAAATCTCAATTCATTTGTTGAAAATATACCAATTTAAGCCATAAATACAAATTTAATAAAATTTTATTATAAGAACACAGACATTGAATATAAACACAATAATCACATCTCCTTTATTGGTAAACTAATGTAATTAGTGTTCTCTTTAGAATAAAACCCACTACAGATGTTAAACATCACTCCTTCAAGGAGTCTTTCTTTGTTTTGATTTTTACCATTTAAAAGATCAGATCTTGGAGGTATGACAAATCACATCAGAAAAGATATTAGATTACAGCATAAAATATAGAGTAATTCCCCTATAAATAACATTTAGGAGGGCTGAGAAAGTAGCTCAGTGTTAGAGTGCTTGCCTTGCATGGATGAGGCTCTGGGTTCGATTCCTCAGCACCACATAAGCAGAAAAAGCCAGAGGTGGCACTGTGGCTCAAGTGGTAGAGTGCTAGCCTTGAGCTGAAGAGCTGAGGGAGAGCGCCCAGGCCCAGAGTTCAGGCCCCATGACCGATAAAAAAAAAGGACACTTAGGAGAGGATTACATCTTGTTTCTCACTGTAGTCATAAGTAAGAAATTAAATAAATCAAGAAGTCAGATAGATAATGCCTGGCATTGGACCTGCTTGGTGCTGAAGGGCGAGAACCCATCGACCGGACATCTTACTTGTGCATACTCTTTCCTTATGGTCTTGCCACTGCCATGATAAATGTACACAGCTCCAGCGTGGTCGTCTTCTAGGGGGGCTCCTATCACCACGTCATTGAACCCATCAACATTGAGGTCTTTGACTGCAGCAATCGCTGTTCCAAAGCGAGCCCCGCACGGTTCATTTGTGTTCTCTTTTGTGCATGAATTGTGCTTCAGAGATGAGCAGCAAGCCTGTTTAATTGGTTCCAGGCTCATCTGATATGAAAACCTTGTCTGGAAGAAAGATAAAAAGGATATTTAAACATTTCTATCACTGCAGCTAAGTAAGGTTCTAAAAGCACACATGAAATCAGCCCTTTTAAAAACCATTTGTAAGCTGTATGCCCATGGCTCAGGCCTATAATCCTAGCTAGTCAGGAGGCTGAGATCTGAGGATCGCAGTTCAAAGCTAACTGGGGCAGAAAAGTTCCTGCGAGACTCCCCAATGAACTATTCAAAACCACCATGGAGCTGTGGCTCAAAGTGGTAGAGCTAGACTAACCTTGAGCCAAAAGGGCTCAGGGATAGCACCCAACCCCTGAATTCAAGCCTCACAACAGGAAAAACAAACCAATTGTACACAAATGGAAAAATTTATAAAATTAAAAAGTGTGCTGATTTGAGAGTCAGGTTAAGAATTTCAAAGCTTATACTAGAAACTTGAGAAAGGAGGAATATTGAGAGTTTCAATAGAGTCTCTCCTTGAGTTGATCATGTAATTAAAACCGTCTTTTTAAAGTCAAAGAACAGATTTCAAATCCACAATTTGTGTGTGTGTATTGTCCTTTGTTAAGCCTTTCTCTCATTTCTTTAAAACAAAGAGAAAAAATGGTTCAAAACACCAATTTGTTACTTGGTGTGAATTGCATACTGGAAATTCCCAAACAAAAGAGGCCGAGGCAAGAAGATCATGAGTTTGAGGACAACTTGGGTTACATAGTACCTGATTCAACCTCTCCTCATCACCATCACCACCAAAAAGGAAAACAACAACAACCACCAAAACAAAAGAAAGGAAACATTTATGGGTGAGTATGCCTGCACTTCCAGCGTTTAGAAGGCAGATGCAGGAGAGTCCAAGTTCTAGGCCACTGGGTTCCAGAGTATATTCTAGGCTTTATCTCACAAAACAAGACAAAACAAGTCCTCAAATGAGCAACCTAGTTAAACATAGAAAGTACTAGCAAAGAATGAACAAGAATGTACTTCTTGAAGGTTGGGAGATAAAAATGGCACATGATGAAAAGCAAACAAATTGACAGTAGAAAATAAATCTAGAAAAAGAGGGAAAGAATGACACACAATTTATGATTTTAAATAATTAGTAGAAGAGGCAATAAAATAATTTAAAACCTAAATAAAAACTGGCCTTTGTATAAACTGTGAAATATTCATTTTAAATATTCCACCAGATAAACAATGTCTAAAGTCAAGAATGGAAAAGAAAACCTCAGTGGAGCCCAGTGAACTATTCTGAAACACTCTGAAGACCACAGGATCTGGGTTCCTTCTTGTTTTGAAGCTCCAAATCATTTTATCTGCTAATATCAGTTCCAGTCCAGAACTCCAGAATGACTCATTGTTAGGCTTATGCAGCAGATGACTGAGATTTAGGTTTGTCTTCTTGATCATATATATTTGGGTTAAAAAAAATACTGAGGGGTTTCTGGGTAAATGACTCTCAAGTCTTTACTCATATTTTTCAAGGCACATAAGACATTAAAATTGCCTTAATCAAAACTGAAGGAAAGGATGAGTTTTTTCTGCATTTAGGCCACACTCAGATAGCATTACCTTATTCAGGGTGTACACGTATACTTTTCCTTGTTCTTCTTTCTCCGTTCCCATGTACATTGGAGCCCCGACAAGAAGAATGTCAGTATTAGAATCTTTATCAATGTCGACTGTTGTTAAAACACTGCCAAAGTAGGAACCAATCTAGTACATAAGACAGAACAAAACAGCTTAATGAATGGCAGAGATTCTCTAAGAAGGTGAAATGTACATTTTTCTTCTGTCAATCTAGAAAAGGATGAAAGATTGGTTTACAAAAAAATGGACTATAAAGACAAGTGCTAGATGAACAGGCTCTAGGATAAAGAATATTAGTCAATCTCATCTTTGAGGATTTAATAGCTTGAGAATAACAGAAGTGATCCTCTTTAGCTTTTACCCTGAAACTATTCTTTCTTCTCCACACATCAAATCAGCAGATGTCTACATGACTTCTAAGAAACTAAAATGAGACCTAGAGGAGAATGCATCATGGAATGGTTTTGAACATATTCCAACCCAGCAACATGGGAAAAAATGGATGCAGATCTGTTATAGGTATTGAATGAATTTGTCTTGGTTTATTTAGCAGGTTAGTGATTTTTACATTTGAGTTCTTGATCACATATATTCTAGTTAAAAGAAAATACATGTTCTTGCTTTTGAAAAAGTTTAGGACAATGGACTATTATATAGAATTCACAGACAAATTTAGGACAATGTTATCAAGTTTACCTGATCTCCATTGAGTGTCTGGAGAATCTTGACATCTGCATCCTCCATCCTGTAGATGATGACCTGGCCTGTGTGATTGTACCGAGGCTGTCCAGCGATATAAAGCACATCTCCAGAGACTGTGGCAGAGTTCACGGTGTAACCTAACCAAAGAGAGATTTCATATATACATCTGGTCCCTTAAGGGCGACATGCAATATATGATGAATCATTTTACAGGGTTGAGATAATAATTTTTATATTTTATGTGGGCATCTCATTTTGAGGTATAATTAGCAAGAGGAGTCATAGTGGTACTGAGGTCAGGAATGAAGTTTGTTAATGTTTTCTTACTGTGATATCTTTAAATTTTTAATTTTGAACATTTGTTCTAATCAACTATAAACTGAAGCTTTTGGAGATATAAGGTTTGGGAATCTAAGAGTTGGTCTTTAAGGAATTTAATCATGTAATTATAATGCAGGACACCCAAAACACTTCAATATCATATTCATAATTAAAATATATGAATTTTATAGAAATTGTGATGATGTCACAGATTTATGGACTTCATATGATACATTTAAAGTTTCTAAACATTTAACACTTAGTACAAACAATTGTTAATATCATGCACAATTCACCTGTATTCATTTTCTCTCGCTGCTGCAACACAATACAACCAAACAGTGGTTTACGATGTCAATAAATGTCTGTAAATGAAAAGTCTGGCACAGTTCTCCCTGGGCCAAAATCATGTAGAGCCCATGGAGAATAAGCTACTCCACCTTTTATGCATCCACAGATCACGCATAGTCCACAGACGGGTCCTTTTTCGGTTTTCAAAGCAAATGGCATTTTATCTCTATTTTTACATAGTTCTATCTCCTTTGGAAAAGCTCTCTGGGACTTTTTAAGGATGCTTGATCATACTGGGCCATGATAAATATTCCAGGGCAATCTATCTATCTCAAGATCTTTATCACAGCTACGTGGTTAATATGTCGGGGTATTAGGAAATGGAAATTGTTGGGTGTTGTTATTCTACAGTACAAAAAAGAATAATTAGTGAACAATAGAACATAATAAGCAAACAATAGGCTACAACTAGTGATTAATTTTCAGGAATAATGCTAAGTACCTTACAGTCATTAATTTAATAGTTGTAACAATCCAAATTATATGCAATGTAATTATTGCATTTTTAGAAATAAGCAAATTGGAGTTTTGTCAGATCTAGTAACTTGTCTTAAGCCACAGGAGCAATCAGAAAATCAACAAAAATCTCTGTAACCCACAGCCATCTTTCATTATACAGAGGGAACTGTAAACAATTAAAGACTTATAGGGGCTGGGAAGGTGGCTCAGTGGAAGAGCGCTTGCCTTGCATGCATGAGGCCCTGGGTTCGATTCCTCAGCACCACATAAGCAAAAATAAAATAGCTGGAAATGGCTTTGTGGCTCAAGTGGTAAAGCGCTAGCCTTGAGCTGAAGAGCTGAGGGACAGCGCCCAGGCCCAGAGTTCAGCCCCCCCCCAAAAAAAAACAATTAAAGACTTATAGCATGAATAGCTTTATCACTTGTACTCTGATACGTGAATTATGTTTCATTAAGTGGATTTACTTCCTTGTCCTTTGGATATTTGGGTTAATGGTATTTCCTTCAAGATCATAGATATCATTGGCATTCTTCAATATTGTATTTGTTTTATTAGATTCTCAGGAGTAGAGTTTCTGAGTCAATGTGGTCTACAGTCTTTTTTTTTGGCATGGCCAAACGCAGTATCAGGTAACCTCCATATACAGTTATACCAATTTATATAGCATCATTTATATTTGAGCAAAAGTGTTACATAATTCCTCTATCTGTGATAGAAAGACGACTCAGGTTAAACTAGTTCTTGATTCCAAGGTATTTTACATAAAACAGTCTCACAGAACCTAATCTGCCCTCCTTCCCTCCCTGTCAGTTTCTTTGTAAGCACATAGCATACCAAGGTAATTGCTTATTTCATCATTGTTTCTCACCCAAAGCAATTTGCAGGTACTGATCTGCCCTGCTCATCTTGTCATTCTTGATTAGTAACTCAATGTGGGGCACACTGTGGACACTCAGTATTTGTGGAATGCTTTCCTGATCAACCCGGAATTGGGTATTTTGGTGACAAAGTGAACATTGGCATAAAAATCAGTAGAACTAGACTGACCTCAGACCTATGAAATGATTGTTCTATACTTCGCTTTCATAGCTTAGAAATTAAATGTTTGATTGTTTTCTCTAATAGCTTTCTTAATGCTAAAACTTGATATGAATTTTACTTCGTATCTTTTTTTAATCACAGTGTTCCAAATATTTCATAGAAGTGCAATGTTCACTTTGCTTTCTGTTTTTTTTGGTCCAGTCGTGGGGCCTGAACTCTGGGCCTGGGCGCTGTCCACAGCTCTTCAGCTCAAGGCTAGCGCTCTACCACTTGAGCCACAGCGCAACTTCCAGCTTTTTTCTTTTTGCTTATGTGGTGCTGAGGAATCGAACCCAGGGCTTCAGGCATGCAAGGCAAGCGCTGTACCACTGAGCCACCTTCCCAGCCCTCACTTTGCTTTCTAAACTCCAGTTTCTTCAGGCTTTGGCAGAAGAGGGATTTGTAGCAGCAAACAAAATGCTTCTAGATATGATTTCCTAAAGAATCTGTGGCTGGCATAGCCTGGTTACCATTTTGTCTTTGGAATGTGTGATGGTTTAGACAATGGAATATTCTAGCTCTTTACAGATAACATCAGAATATAATAAAATTCTATAAGAAAGAGAACTAGATTTTTATTAATGTGGTTGAATATCTTAAGGGATTTTTAGCAGCCACAGTGTCCTTGCTGTTTACTATATTTTCAGTCATCCAAAATCAAAGTCCCTTTTCTCTTCTTCAGTCCTGCTGTCTCTATAGCTCTGTTAGGTGTCCTTGTGTAGAAAATACATGGCGATACCAGTGAAAATGTGACACTTTCCCATTGAAACAGAAAGAAATTAGGAAATAGAGAGCAAAAGACAGAGGATACAACCAAGGAATGCCAACATGCTATAATGTGAATACTTGAAGCTTATGTATTTATTTTCTTTACTACTACAGCCCCAACACCAAGAATAATGCTCAAAGCCAAAGAGGAGTTAAAAATATTGTTGAGTGGTAGCTGAGAAATGATGTCCTGAAATCTTCCAGAGATGAGAGAGCCTTGTAATATGCCTCAGGAACTCCTGGTATAGATACTGAATTACCTGGCATCAGAAAAATACAGCCTAGTTCCTGGCAAGATTTTAGAAAACATGATGGCATTATATTACTGAGTTTAAGAACAGAATTTGCCTGGTCATGAATATAAGATAAAAATGATCTTTTTCAAAATTAGGACCCACAGAGAGAAACTTTAAGGATAAACATTATCTAAGAGGATATAGGAGTCTAGTCTTCAAGTGAAAGTAAATATCAGACACAGTGACACCGGATAAAGGTCATGAATCCAGCAAAAACATTTCTGCATTGGCTATCCCAACTGAGAAAGGATAGTCTTTAAATTAGTGTGGGTCATTCACTCCCTGGGACTGTTAAACTCTTTCATGAGTCCTTTAAAAAATTCTAAATCTTCACAGTGATCTTGCTATTTGGTATATACCTATCAAATTATAATCAGGAGTTTTAAAGATAATTTTTTAAAGTATCATTATATACACCCAAACCTTACCTAAATAGGAAGCAAGAGGCTCATTCTCTTTGGCAGACTCGACTTGAAAGGTTGTGTTTTGAGGGATTATGATTTGATTGGCCTTCTGCATGACAACTGTTCCGTTCCAGTCATAGGCTCCTACTGCTCCCAGCATGACCCAGTCCTTACATGCATATATACACAAAAACAATATTTAATAAAAATGGGGTCAAGCTTACTCTGCATTAATATTACAGATACTATTCTAAAATTAACTTACATAATCCTTCCAAGAACATTATGGGCTAAATGCCATTTTATAAAAGAGGAAACAGGTATACTAATTAACTTGTCCAAAGTTACATGGTATACATATATATTGAAATGTCAATATTCCTTTATATATTGCATGATGGCTTTTTCAACCAATTATAAATGAAACAGTTTCTATTCTTTATTTTTACAATATTTTAAGGAGATTTTTTTCTTTTTTTTAATTGTGAAAATACTGTACAGAGGGGTTACAATTACATGGGCAAGATAATGAGTACATTTCTTATCAAGCATTGTTGCCTCCTCCTTTGTTTTCCCTTCATACCCCTTCCCATCTCCCCCCTACACCCCCCTCCCTGTGCCAAAGTTGTAAAGTTCATTTTTCGACATAACGACTTGTACATCTCATTGTTGCAATGGGTCCACTGTATCCCTATTTAAATGATTTTTTTCCCTTCCCCTCCACAAATTATACCAACATCAAATACAGTTCCTCTTCTTGTCTTTTTTATTTCTTCTCAGTGCTAATAATTCTTCTTGTAGATGTCAAAGGATTTTAGCAAGAACCTTGTATGTTTTGACATGGAGACGGACATAGATTCCATATCTTTAGCAAATAAATTGTTTCATGTAGCCAGATACACAACTATGGAAAACAGACCTCTGATTGTCCAATTCACAGTTATTTATAAAATACAGTGAGTGGTGTGAGATAATGTTTGCTAGCATAAAGCTTATGTAATGCCAATTTTCCTATTTGTTGGAAACATCATCATGACTTACATGACTGCTCACACCAGGAACTGAAAATTACATTTGTTACAGCAATGACTGTAAAAGACACTTCATCTTCTACCAGGTGATCCTCATACCTGTGAGTAATGAGCACTGAAACCGGTCTGAGACATTTCCATTTCGAATGATGCTGCTGACTGGTCAGCTGTAGCTACAAACAGGAAAAATATCACTGTAAGCAACTAACAATGTCCTTTAGTGCATTGCTAACCTGCAGGGTAACAGATAATTGGTAGAGCTTGAGTTCTTATCAACCAGATCTTGGAACTATCTCAGAGAACTCTCAGTATAGCTCTCTAAGTCCTGAATTCCTAGGAGCTGAGTAGAGGAAAGAGAAAAGCAGTGAAAAGACTCCTGTCTCAGAGTTTTGCTCCTGCTTTCCAATTCTTACTGAAGAAATGGAGGTATCCTTTGTCATGTCTTCTGTATTCTAGTGTGCTGTGGATCCTATGGTGCCCTGGGTGCACGTGGCTAAAGTTACCATAGTAGAAAACATTTGTCTTATCTTTATATCTAGGAATCATGTCTAGTCTAAAACTGGCTTAAACTTTAGCAGACTGAAAAGAAAATTCATTAATACATTCAAAGAGAATTCCCACCCTATCTCAGCCACAGATTCTCTTGGAATCTCCTTGCCTGAGAAAAGATTTAAGGATGGCATGCAGCTTGTTTTTGCTGGGTATTTACTCCAGATCTGGAGGACAATTTTTTAAGCCACACTCTAACCAATCACAATTTTTTAAGACTCTTAGACTCATTTTAAAACTCTTTACCAAGATGTAGAGACACTCCAGAACATTCTGTGGAAGTACTCACAATTATTCTCAAAGTAGTCACAGACCTGAAGGCACAAAGTCATGAGGGAGCTGAGGTTATGTTGGTTAACAAGTTTCCCAGTAGGGAGGTACTGATTTATTTGGCCTTAAAAATAAATTAAAATCAACATCCAACTTTAAAAACAAAAGCCAGCCTGCTCTTCTATTGAAGCACAAGAAACATCACGTTCATGAAACTAAACAAATTTAAATACATTAGCACCGGCCTTTTCATAGAACTTGATTAAATGAGGCAATCAAAACAGAAGCAAATATATAATGTTAATCTCATATATGAATTGCTCTCTATATACTTCAACACCTATTTGACATACACCATGCTCTAAGGTGTTTTTTCATTTATCTTTTAGGCCAATGGTATGAATGCAGCAGCATAAACCTGAGTGTAGCACCTGATGTTTGCCATTGTGTTCAGCTGAGGAAGATGCTATTTGACTTTTCCTGTCATAATGGCCTCATGGTAAGACTTACCTGCCATATACCTCTCAGCTCCATACCCTGGACCCTGCAGGAGGGTAAGCTTGCCACTCTTACCCCTGTACAACTTTTGGTTAGGCATGTCAGCGACTTCCCAGCACAGGATAGGAATGGGACACAGAACCATTTCCTGATTTCGTGAACTAAGTTCTTGCTGTACTTGGCTCACTAGGTGGCACTGTCCTTGGCAAGCAGGACTGTCTTAATTGCAGCTATCTACCATCTTGGGATAAATGTTGACAGGAAAAGGAGTTTTTCCCAAGTAACAAGAATAGAAGCACTTTATGATCTCATTATGAAAACAATAAAGAAAAAATCTGCTCAAAGCACTGCTTTTTGATTAGTCTTAGTAAGTGCCTCAGCAAAAGCAAGAAGAGGGCTGGGAAGGTGGCTCAGTGGTAGAGTGCTTGCCTTGCATGCCTGAGGCCCTGGGTTCGATTCCTCAGCACCACATAAGCAGAAAAAAGCTGGAAGTGGTGCTATGACTCAAGTGGTAGAGCACTAGCCTTGAGCTGAAGAGCAGAGGGACAGTGCCCAGGCTCAGGAAAAAAAAAAAGCAAGAAGAGACATCTTTCATCTGTAGAGTTCCTCATAAAACAAAAAAAAAAGCAAGAAGAGACATCTTTCATCTGTAGAGTTCCTCATAAAACAATTTCTTTTTCTTTATGTGCCAGTACCAGCCTTGGACTCAGGGCCTCAGGTTCTTGCTTAGCTTCTTGTCACTTAAGGCTGGCCCTCTGCTACTTGCAACACACTTCTAGTTCTGACTAGGTAGTTAATTAGATATAAGAGTGTTACTGATTTGTCTGTGCAGGTTGGCTTTGAACTGTGGTGCTCAGATCTAAGCCTCCTGTGTAGCTAGGGTTGCAGACAAGTGTGACAAGCACAGGAAGTAATTTCAATTTGAAACATAAAAACTTCTTCAAGTATTTGGGTACTCCAATGGGGTACCTCCAACCTGTGCTCTAGTTAGTTAAATTGTCATGGACACAAGAGATTTTTCTTTGTTGTTGTTGTTTTTAGTGTACTACGTGATTTTCTTTTGTTTCTTTTGTATGTTCTTCCCCCTATGGTATACCCCTGTTGTCATTGCATTTGATGGTACCCTGTGCCTTGTATAAACAATTGTTTAAATTTGGGGAGGGGAAGGGGAATAGCAAAATGATGAAATAAGTACACAGGATGACCCACTGTAACAATGAGACTGATAAGACATTATGTTGGGAATGAACTTTACAACTTGTGGGGGGCAGAGAGTGGAGGAGGTAGGGGAAAGAAGGGATAGTAGAAGAGAGACAAAGGAGAGGGTAACAATGCTGGAGAAGAAATGTACTCATTACCTTACTCATATAACTGTAACCCCTCTCTACAGCATCTTTACAATAAAATTAAAGAGAGAGAGAAAAGAAAGAAAACAACAAACAATTTGCTTTTGTAAAGCAAAAAAAGAAAAAAAATCAGTCTCCTACACTCCGTGCCCCAGGGTGATGTGGGTTTAATCTCTCTAGTTTTAGGCTATATTTATTTGCTTGCTTAAAAGGATATTTCAAAATAATATTTACTATACAACTAATGCACCTGAGTAAAATTGTTGAAATTATCTTTACAGATTGTTTCTTAACCTATGCTATCAAAAATTAAAAGCTCAGAATAACTTGCAAGACTTTGTATGTTTTTCTTCAGGCTAGGAAAGCCATGACCCGGCTGTTTATTGGTTAAAAACACCACAATGGGTGTTACAAGACCAAAGCCATGTGAAAATGACTGCACCCAGAATACAAGACAGATGCACTCTTCAGAATGAGCTGCAACTTCAGACTGACAAAAAGTTGAAGTGCTTTGTTTCTGAAAAAACAGGAAGAAATGAGACCTGATAACAGCAAACTGAAGGGAAACTGGAAATTAAAGGTAACTGGAAAAAGGTAGAACACAATGGCTTTCAATCCTGTTTTGATTGATTCATATAATAAGTCATGATTTCTTTTGTGAAACTTGATTTTAGTTTTATATGCACATGTATCTGTGCATAAGGTTGTAAACAAAACACTTATTATCATGAGCTATTCAAAATAGGATTGAAAGCCATTGTGTGAAATAATTTTCTTTGTATATATTTTAGTATTGTTACTCTCTTTCCTATATTTTGCCTAGACTCCTAAAACTCAATCGGAATGTTCTATCTTCTTCCAGTTACCTCTCATTTCCAGTTTCTCTTCCGTTTGCTATTATCAGGTCCTGTTAAGGAGACTGATGGATTTTTTGAAATGCTTATTTATATGATGCAGAATCAATAATCTTTTCAGGGAATCCTTATAAGGAGAGTGAATTGGACTTGGAGACATAATAAAAGGGAAAGAGTTCCATGTTGGTTTCTCTTAAAGAGAATCCAAAGAAGGAATGGCCAGTATGCCTGGTAGTACAATTATAGTACATTTTTTTTTTTACTTTTTGTCAAGAAATATCTAGCTACAAAGCAATTTGTTACTTGACGTCCCTGACCTAAGGCAGAAGAGGGAATAGCAGACTCAACATCTTTCACAGCCAGCACCACCAGGAAAAAAAAATCAAAGAAAAACCCACACCGAAGCACATGATTTAGACAATACAGACAAATACAGACCATAATATATAGGAATTTCATTGCCAGGAGACTCAAGGCAAAGCTCCAGAAAGATCCGCAAAATGTGCAAAGGGCAAAATCCAGAGGAAATAAACGAACAAAGAAGTTATTGTATTTATAATAGTTTCAGAGCAATCCCAGTGGAACCCAGAAACAAATGGAAAGACTAAACTAGAGCTGGTGGTTCCATATTCTAGAACTGTGTCACCGCAAAAGCACATGGAGACATTTTTCTCCTTGTGTATCTACTTTGACCACTGTCTTTGTTGGTACGTTTTCTCATTGACACTGTCAGCTTTGTACAAAGAAAGCATCTAGCAGCTCTCTTTGTAAACTGCAGGCTCATTGGCAGATTTATATAAAGCCTTGCTGGCTATTGTGCGCAGTAAAAAAGTGTTTGTGATGTACTGGGAATAGATAGCAAAAATCCATTGTATTGAGTTTGAATATAAAGAAAGCTTCCAAGATGAAGAGAAATAGTCATACCTTCCAGGGCAAATATTCTTTCTCCCAAAGCTTTGACAATAGTGACAAGGGCCAATTCATCTGAGACATTGAAGAAATGCTTTTCGGTGGGTTCACTTGCGATTGATTTTATTTCTGCCACAAATTTTTCAGTGCTTAAATTCCCTCGGTTATAGTGGCCAAGAATCTAAGATACAACAGAAACAGCAAGTATATATTTTAACTGATGTGTGTGAACAAATAAAGGATAAAAATTAAGGATATCAAGCATACTGTCAGCAAACCATAGTGTGCAGAGTACCTTAGCACAATGAAATTTTATATACTTTAAGAATACACTGTTTCCTCAGTATTTACATAAATAAATCCTGTAATTGGTGTAGGCTATTTTAAAATCCTGTGTGTGTGTTTGTGTGGAAATGTGCTCTTTTGCATTTCCATGTCTCTATTATCAACTCTATCCTTGAAATCTGATAGCTCAAAAGTAATTGTGTGAATGTTGCTGACATTATTCCAGTGGAACATCACATCTGTTACATATGTCTGATGCCAAATGAAATCAGAAAATGAGTTATATACATTATATAAATATATGTCAAATACATGCAAGTATATATATATATACTCATATTATATATATGTATATCATATGCATAAATATATTTCCATATGTGTGGCTCTTGTTATATATTTATAAATAAGTTGTATATATATGTAAATATGTGTGTAATGCATACAAATTCATCTAATATTTGCATACATATTCTGTACATATACTACTCATAATTTAAGTTGGAAATCTAGAAGAAACACAATGGAGCACCATTGTTTGCAGCCAAATACTGGGTTAACAATAATTATTTATATTTCCAAGCAGATTTTTAAACTTTATTGATGTAATTTTATTTTTTAGTGTTGGAAAGTAGGATATTTTATTATTTTACATTATAACACTTTCCTTTTATAACCTATATACAGTGTAGAAAATTTCTATGGGTTTCTACTGTATTTTTTAAGATTAAAGAATGCCAGATATTTTTAAAATATAATTTTATTATTATTTTTAAGGTGTGATGTTGAGGGGTTACCATTTCATAAGTAATGACACATAATTTATATTCATTTTCTAAGGCCTATAATTGTAAGAATATGACACAGCTGAGGTACAGAATACATCCACTAACACCCAAAGTTCCTTCTTATCCACCATAGTTGATTCCTTCTTTTTTTGCCCCACCATGGAATCCAGCTATGTGTTCTGAGTTCCCATAGCTTTGCTTTTCCCACAAGGTCACATTTAAGGAATGGTAGGCTTCCTCCTTGGCTTCTTTCTTTTTTGAGAATGTATTTGAGAACTAGCTACCCTGCTTGCCTTGTTCTATTGATGATTAAGACTTGCTACATGACAATTTGTTCACTAAGAACATTTGAGTTGCAAAAATTGATTAATTAAGCTGCTGTAAATGTTTGCTTCTATGTCTATGTAGGCATAGTGTTTTGTTTTGTTTTGTTAAGTGAATTCTGGTTGGCATAGTAATCATAACTTCATAAGAAGGGCCCAGGCTGGGCACCAGCTTATGCCTGTAATTCTAGCTACTCAGGTCGCTGAGATCTGAGGATTACAATTCAAAGCTAGCTCGGGTAGGAAAGTCCATGAGACTGTTTTCCCCAATTAACAATCAAAGAAACAAAAACAAAAATCAAGAAGTGGAGCAGAGCACTAGCCTTAAGTACAAAAGCTCAGAGATAGCACCCAGTCCCTGTCAAGCCAAACAATTTCCAAGGGTAAATATTCCATTTTTCAACATTACTCCCACCAATTTCACTACATCCCTGTCAGCACCTGTTACTATCAGTTTTCCCTTGTTCACTTGTGTGTTGTAGTATCTTATTTACTATATATTTCCCTGACTAGTGATGTTGAGAGATTTTCATGCAATTATTTGTCATAATATTTTCTTTCTTTGCTTGAGGTCTGTTCAATTATCTACTTGTTTAAATAAATACAGGTTGATTTTTTTTTCTTTTGAGAGTTTTTGTCCAGACTGAGGGTTATGCTTTCACTTTTTTTTTACTATATCATCTAAAATTAGGCATTTATTTAAAAAAATCTAAAAATAATTTCCAAGTTTAAAATACAAAAAGTTTAATATGAAGATTTGACCTAACTCTACATTTGAAGTTGAAAAACTTGGTGGACATTAAGAAAAACACAAATAAGCATTTGATAGCAATCTTTTGGATTGTGTTGATGTTGTTGTTATTTCTATTAGGAGATTGCATACTTTCACTTTTTATTTACCTAAAAATATCTTTAATTAATCTCCTGGTAGTGAAAGCATCACTTTTCTAATAAGAAGTAAGTTTAGGTTTTATTTGAGTCCAAGTGTTACTTGCAGATTATAACTTTGGTTTTCACTTTAAGTAGCTATGAAACTTTTATTATAATAACTTATCTGAAAGGTCCAAATTGAATTGGGTGGAAAGGAAAACACAAAAGACCATCCTATGTGTGATTTCATTTATATGACAACATTCAATAGAGGACAAAACTGGCACCGGAGTGGAGGTGACAGCAGTGGCTGCAACGGAGGCTGTGTACTGAAAACAGAGGAAAGTGTGGAGAACTTTCTAGAGTGACAGAGCTGCTACAGTCTTGATTGGGATGTGATCTTGATTGAAATGTTATATGGACATTCCATGTTATGGGATGTGGACATACGCTATTTCCAAGTTATTATTTCCTTCCCAGTTTCCAAATTGAAATACCACATCTCACTGCATAGAAACATTGCCTCAATTTTTAAACAATGAAGGAATTATATGGTCGTAACTGAAAAACCATAAATTTTTAAGTTTTAAACTTTCTAAAATATTTATACAGCATAGTCATCTTTTTATAAAGTTAAAAGCAGTAAAACGTTATTAAACTTAAATTTTCAGATTTGTATATGTAGATGCCAAAAAATATTACTAAAAAGAGGGCAAGGTATGATGAGTACAGACTTTGGGTAGTTTCTTAGGAATGTACATGCATTTTCTTAAGTTAGATTTAGAATGCTATGAAAAATTAATATTTTGGTAAAGAAATGTACAGTTTTTTCAATTATAGAAAGTTAGAAAAGAACATTACTATGTAAGTGCTACCTTTTATGATCTACAACAGACATGTATTTATTTGATCATAAAATAGGTAACAGTTGAGAGCCCCAACTAACCACTATGTGCATTTAGCACATTAAATGCTAATGTGAGAATATGAGTTGTCATCCATCTAGTCAGGCAGGTTTCAAAATGGTTTCTAAATATTCCTTTCTGGGGAAAAGTTGGTGGATTTATTCTTGATTATTCCCCCCTTTGCTTGACTAACAACTTTGCTCCCATTCTCTGGGGAGCAGCAGTGACTGGCCCAGAGGAAACACATGTCTCTCATGATTACAGGACTTTCTTTTCCTGTCTATAAGACTCCAGGACATCACCTTTTCTTAGCTTCCTCCCTGTTATGTGGTTATAAGGAGAATACTAATGTCTGTGAAAAGTCTGTGGTGCCTTGAAGAGGCATGCTATTAAGGAAGGCTGGAGCTGTCTATAAGGTAACTTGCTGGCCATCTGGGTAGCTTTGGATATTTTAAACTTCATCTCTACTCAAATATCCAGACATTGAGCAGGAAGGTGTAAACTAGAAACTGCTAAATGCCATTAGGAAAGAAGAAGTCAATTTCTGTGTACTTTGCTAAAAGTGCCAAATGTGGGAGGTTAGTAACATCTGAACAGAGACTACTAGTGCTTTCTCCCACCTCAGCTGTGCAGTGAGGGAAGAAAATGAAGGAGAAGGTTATAGGCAGCAGCTTGGATAGGGAAGGAAAATTCAAATAGATATGGCCACAATTCCTCTTCCCTTTCCCTTTCCCTTTCCCTTTCCCCTTTCCCTTCCCCTTCTCCTTCCCTTCCCTTCCCTTCCCTACCCTTCCTCTCCCTTCCCTTCTTCCCCTCCTCCTTTCTTTTCCTTTCTCCTTTCCTTTGTTCTTCCCTTTTGTGGCAGTATTAAGGTTTGAACTCAGGGCCATGTATATGCTAAACAGCTCTAATATTTAATTCATGCCCCAGTCCCTTTGAAATAAGGATACTGCATCTAAGTAATATCATCTTGGCATCTCAATAGAAGATGGGAACTTTGTGAGAACTATTGGGGTGACAGAGGACGTTCTTTGGATTGTTAATGTGTCATGAGTGGTTGAGCTTCTGGAAAGTCATGCTTTCCCTACATAATTGGGTCCTGATGGTCCCTGGTTGTTCACCTGGATAGTTGGTTGTGCCTATGTATAACACTCTTGTTGGGCTTGGGTGCCACAGTCAAACATGTGGCTTTTGTCTTTGACAGCTTTGCTCAAGTGCTGTTCTGGGTTGTGGGTCTTTGAGACAGGAATCTACCTTCAGACACAGGCTCTCCAATAAAGGCCTCCAATTTGACCTCTAAAAATGTGTCTTCTCTGTTTTCTTGTGACTGAATTCTGATTCAATTCCTTTGGCTGTTTTAAAATAGGTTCTCACTATTTATCTTGTCATTCTTGACTATTATCTTCCTACTTACACATTTCCTCTGTAGATGGGAACTCAAACATAGGCCACCTTACCTTTTCTTTATTAGTTCATTTGTTTCTCTCTCTCTTTTTTTTTTTTTGGTTGAAATTAGATCTTGTAAATTTTTGGCTCAGCCCAGCTTCAAACCACATTCCTCAGCCTAGGATTACAGGTGGGAGCCATGGGCCCAGAAGTCATTGTTCTTTATGTTAAATGAATCCCATCTCTCATTAAGAAAACAGTTCTCAAGATACTTTCTTGATGTGGCCAGCTCACCACATCTAGGCAGTACACAACCCAAAATATGCATAGAAAAGGCAGGAGAGTTTCCAGAGAAAATATTATACAATGTTTTCCCTCTCTGAGCACACAGTAGAACTACCTTTTCTGTCAGCAGTTTTGTTACCTATGTATTCCTTTGGGATTCATACAGATTCTGAATTATATGAATCCCAGTTACTTAAATCAATCTGCAGATAATGTAACATCCTAGAATAATAAATCTTCATCTTTCTTCTTTGGTTCTAATTAAGCATATTCTAGATTAACTGTTGGGTTGACATAGTATCTCCATTTTATTTAGAACTTGATGTAGCTGGAAATATACATAAAACAAATCTAATGACTGTGTTTTAGGCCATGAATGACTAAATTGTTATATGTGATGTCAATATTCTCAAGTATTTAGCAGTCTACGTGATAGAAAATAGACAAGTGGATAAAGTTCAACAGGAAAAGAAAAACATGTCCAAGTGATATGCTTAAGGAATAAAAACAATAGTTATAAATACAAAGTAGAAGTATGAATTTAGAGGAAATATAAGGGATTTGAAAACAACCTGGATTTACCATGATTTGCATGCCTATCATTTTGAAATATTTAACATCACAGGTGAAAATAAAGAAAATGCATTTTGATCCTTCATCTAAGGGACTGATAGCTTGTGTAAACATTATTTTCTATGAAGGAGAAAAGATTTTTTTGTTTTTAAATAACCCTTCTAAATTTCTTCCATTTCACTCAATTCAAATATGTTAAGCCCAAACATTTGAAATTCTGCTATGATTTACCTGAAAAAGACATTCAGAACAGAGGCAGGTGTCAGTGAATAGCATGTGGAAGCCATTTACATGCCATACAGTTGTCTTTTATTTGAAACACAAATGAAATCATAAGCTCTGTTCTGATGTCTCATTTTCATCTGAGTGCAGTAAGTGGCACACAGACATTATCTTCTAAGATTAGGGTCTGAATATAAATGCACCCCTGACAACAACATTTAATGCCTTCAAGTGTGAGAAGTATCAAGATACTTACAGCTATGGAAAATCGTTGAATGTTTTCATCTTCACAGTCTTGGATGACCTTTTTCAGATCATAGGAGTCATGAGACTCTCCGTCAGTCACAATAACCATCACTTTTTTAACTCCCCTTCGAGCACCTCGGGCTTCAGTGAATGCCTCCTTCCTGAAAAGAGTGCATACAAAAGATAGGCTGATCAAACTACCTCAAAACTAGGCAAAGTGAAAACCTAGACCAAAACCTAGCAATTCTAGGTGCCTGCTGGTATCCTCTGAGCTCAGCTTCAATATGCTTTGTTTCAGCCAGTAGGCTAATGATTCACGTTTGTAAATTTCAGATGCATTTCAAGGACTGTAGAGATCACCATATTGCTAAGGACATATACAAGAGGCCACAATATTTTCTTCTTGGAAACTTCATGAAGGGAGAGTATGACTGGAATACCCATCAGCTTCACTGAAGGTCAGGTCTGTAAATATTCTCCTGACTTCTCCTTCCTCTACAACCACTCCTTCCCTGGCCTCTTCTACTTCCTGCCAAATTTTTTGCTGGAGACCTCATTTCCCAGCATCACTGACATTCACTGAGCAGTGCTGAAATACTCTGTTTTGAGAGAACATAGTGTAGGAAAGTGTCCTGTGTCTGGGGAAGGGTGAGATATATGGGTTAGGACTGCAGATGGTGCTGGTCTAAATCAGTCAGGTTTGTGGGGTAAGAAAGGACTGGTGAGCTAGGTTTTAGGACATAGATTGCTGAAGGAGCCATTGGAAGAGATGGCATGAAGACAGAGGAAAGAATGCTATAACCAAATTGCAAAAATTAACCAAACAAGAATTTAAGGAAAATGTCAATAGGAGAAATAGACAACGTTTATTCGTTCTACATATCCTATACAGAAAGACACAGACAGGCATATAGGCACAAACTCTTCGTGTCTGTCTAGCCAACTCATTGCCTCTCTGAGTTCGTGGAAGAGAGAAATACATTCTAACCAGGACTGCAATGATGAGCAGGCTTCTAAGTTAGGCTCTGATCTGAGGCTTTGGCCTGCTTAGTCTAGTTTTAGCTCATTTTGCTAAAGCACAGATCTCTGTTCTCTTCTGACTCTGAATGCTGCCTAATCCATAGATTATTCTTTGCTAAATAAATTCTATTAAATTTCATTTTCCCAAAGGTTTGTTAATTAAAGACAAATATCTAGTTTCTGCCCTTTGTTCTTGACACACAGCTTCCAATCCTTTGGAATTCCCCAAGTGCCAGAAACATCTTTTCATTCTAGTCAGATGACGCTTGCTGAGGTACTAGATATGGGCTGATCACCAGAAAGATAAGCTCTACCATGAGAGTTTGGAACTTATAGTCCCTACTCCCATTCTGCAGGAAGTGGAGAGGTCATAGAGTCCGAGTTAATAATCAGTTAGGCTTATATAATGAAGCCTCTATTAAAAAAAAATCCCTGAAATATAAGGTTCCGAGAATGTCCAGGTTACTGAAGCGGGGAATGGACTTATGGGACAGAATTCTCAGTTTTTAGAGTCTACATGAACTATGGTTGGTGCCTGAATAAAATAAATTGGAGGAGACCCAAGATGATATCATAAAATTGGTCAAGATGAGCCAGGACTAACATATGTGGTATCAGAAGTGGAGCATTTAGTTTTGAGAGTATAACAGGAGTTTTCTACTATTTACCTGCCTTCACCAAGAATTATGTTCAACCAATCTAGCAAGCAGCCCCCTCATCTCCATTTCCCTTTCAGTAATTGTCTACTGACTCCCCATCCTGTCCTGCATTTGTAAATCTCCACATTTCCTTGTTGTATTAAAAGTGGAGACAATCTCTCTCCCCACTGCAGCACTCCCAGTTGCAACAGTTCTTCATGAATGCTGGCTTTCCTACAATTTTCACCAAGTATATGAATACATTTCCTTTAGCATACTATACAAGTAGAATTTCTTACTTCGTTAAGTCATAAACAAAGGTGAAAATAGAAGCCACAGGCTAGGTTTTCAAAGAAGTTTGGACATGGGTATCACATGAGGTTCAATCTTTTTGCAATTCTAATTCTTTAGAGGATCACCGAAAGTTCTTATTTTTCTTAAAGATCAAGGTCATAACTGAACTAAATGAATATCAGCTGAAGAAGATGATTAAAAGACTTTTCTTAAAAAAATCTGGTTGCTCAGAAACCAAGGCTGACTTTATGTAATAGAAGAATAGCCAATGGCAGAACTTCCAAGTGAACCCTTTCTGTTTCAAATATATTCCTTAATGAATTGTTTTTGCTTCTAAAGCACCAGTATTCAATGTCCTTTCCTGGAATTATTATCCTCTTCTATTGCTTTTAAAAATTAAAATATTCCAGGAGGATCTTTTTCTTTGTGACCAGAGAATCCAGGCCTTAGGGGAAAATCCTGGAAGCATATTGGTAGGAATGAAGTTTGGGATTATAAAAAAGAGAACATGAAAAAAATTGAACTGAAACGAGGTGAATTAGTTGCAAATGGAGATAATGGTATGTTTTCTACCATTATTTTCTTCCTTCCTTCCTTTCTCCATCCCTCCCTCCCTCCCTGCCTCTTTCCTTCCTTCTGTCCTTCCTTCCTTTCTCCCTCCTTCCCTTCCTCCCTCCCTCCTTCCTTCTTTCTTCTCTCTCTCTCTTTCTCTCTCTCTCTCTCCTTTTTTCCTCAACCTGACACTGTCTCTTACATTGAGCTCTAGATTGGGCACTGCACTTGAGTTATAGCTTACAGCTTTATGGTAGGTATTGGATATTATTATTATTATTATTATTATTGATTGGATATTTTTGACAAAGTCAATGTTGAACTGTGATCTTCAGATCTCATCCTCCTGAGTAACTAGGGTTACAGGCATGAGCCATTGACATCTGGCTGAGATAGTGGTTTCTAAGCAATGAAAACTGTTGTTTGAAATTAGTTCTACCTAAAAGGAATAAAAAATAATTTAAAATAGGCTTAGTCATGAAAATCTAATGTATGATAAAAATACTCATCCTACAATATGACCACAGACTTTGTATGTATATTCAACACTCAGTAAATGTTGCCTTACTGTTAACCCTTTTTGGGAGCATGTAACAAAATCCATTTAGGGACATATTTCTCACAGTGGCATTTTACAGGTGCAAAGGGAGGCAGAATATTTCTTCAATTAGATTTCAAAGGCAAATGTTCATTTGTAAGTGGTATACAACTCAAAACTCTTATAGGCTTAGGGCTTTCAAAGAACATTTTGATTTATTTGGAATTTGTTGTCACAATCAAATATGGAATGCATTCAGGACACTACATATATGTGTTCTCTGTACATGCAATTTGGTGATCCTACAGATACGTAAATGTAAAATTATCCCATCTGTTTTGTGTTTATTGCCTCTTGATCTCTGTATCCAGAACAATATGCTTTTCAAACATTATTGAGTCTAAAGCTGCCTATGAAATTTTACACATTTGAATATCCAACCTTATGATATTCATGTGAACCATTTTATCCTCCTTAAAATACTGATTTTGTTAGTCAGGTCAAATAAGAGCCTGGGTAATTCAAAACCAACTGAGAGTCCAGAAGTTAAAGACACTTAATAGAATGATTCTTAACCTGAGACAAACTACTTTTTAGATTTTTTTGTGAAATGGGTTTGCCTGTAGTTTTCTATATTTAATAACATGGAAAGAAATAGGCCAGAGATAAGAACTGGATGAGATTGGAGAAAATACAGGAAATAAGATGTTCTGCATTTTTAACAGAGAACAGTTTGTAGGTTCTTATGAAACAAAATGAAATCACAGAGCAGGTTATGCTTTCTCCATGAAGAAATCATCAGAGAGGATGAAGGAAGGATTGTAAACAGAAGGGAAATGAAAAAAAAGTAAAGAAGGAAACAAAGCATGAAAAATGAGGAAGTTCTTTGTATTTCTTTCATGCTTCACATTGAAAGGTTTTAAATTAACATATCTGTTTTAAATTAACATATGTTTAAATTATCATGCTTAAATTAACATAGCTTCAATGATGCTAATTCAAGTACTAAAATATATGGTCATATTAATATATGTGTCTACATATATATTATGTAGACACATATATTGAGTAGATATGACTAAATTTTATTTTAATCCATTACTTTAGATTGAGACTCCTAGAAGCTGAACATAAAGAATAAATGCAAAACAATAAAAAAGAACAAATGTAATAAATATAACTAATATTAGGTCTTTATACCCCCAATAACACAACAAAGTATACTACAGTTAACTTTAAAATTGTTTCTCTGTAAGTTAGACCTTTGTAATCACAGGGAAACAGAAGAAGGGTGGTGAGTTTTCATTGCAGGCTAACTTGATTTTCTGAACCTAATTTTAAACAAGCCAATATGAAATATTTCCAAAGTAAACATTGAATCAAGTTCCGGTGGACAAGACTATGTGTAGTTCTTTCACATGGTCTTTTACTTTTGTTTGCTTTTTGTTTCTGTACCTTGCTGTGTCTATTCCCAGAGCTGTCATAGTCTGGAGGCCACCTCTCCTGCTGATCTTTTTTGCTGCAACAAGTACTTCTTCTGTAGATGAATACTTATTGAGGTTGAACTCATGGGTTACATTTGCTCCATACTGTACAATTCCAACCTGAAATACCAAACCATGGTTAGTTATACATCTAGCAAAATTCCTTGTTCAAGGAGGAGGCTACAATGCTTGATAAGAAATGTACTCATTATCTTGCCCATGTAATTGTAACTGCTCTGTACTGTATTTTCACAATAAAAAAATCAAAAAATTAATCCTACATGTAAAAAAATTCCTTGTTCAACTTTTTAGGTGACTTTATAAATCTATCAGTATACCAATCTTTCTACCTTAATAAGGACAATGATGACAATTTTGTGGGTATTAGAGGTCTAACGAACAAAAATAAAATTGACATTGTTAAACTTCTTAATGATTAGATTATCTAGTCAATAATTTTTACAGATGAATTCTGGTAGCCTTAAAATATTTTATGATTGGAAATTTGGTAACCAAATGATCACATTTTGTAGATAAGGAACCTGAGTTTAAAAAGCTCAGTTCATAGAGTAAATGTGGAAAGAAGTATAAGACATGTGATATACAAGGGCTAATTCAATTACTTACTGCTTCTCAACAAAAATGTGTCCCTTACAATTCTTCCATACTTTAGTCATTTTCCCACTAACTTCTGCTAATAAAAAGAGACACTGTGATACATTGAATTATGTAATAAAACACACAAATAAATAGATAACATTGTAAAAAGAAAATTGAATATTTGAATTCACCCTTGAAATTGTTTAGTTAACAAAGAAAGAATTAGAAAATATATGTAGCTAATTCTAAGATGAGGTATATAGTATAATATGAATGAACAAGAAAATTGATTATTCTATTACTGTTTAGTTCTGCTTCTCTAAGGACATTATCTGTTTCTTACTATCATTCACTATCTGTCCTGAGACTAGGTTTTACTATATTTGGGACAGAGATGATCAGAATCCCCTTTGGTAGCAAGGTAGGATATAACCACCTAATTACAAGAAATATTTTTAAAAACAGATGAGGATATATCCATGACTTCAAATCATTTCCTTGACTTATAATTAATTGAATGTGATATACATTTTTTAATCTTTGCATAGGCTTAATTTTCTTCTCCAGTCACACTACAATTTTTGACTGGTGATCCTAGGAATCACTGACTAATTATTGAAAGGAACTCAAGTAGGTTTCACATTGTCTTTGTGAATATAAATGTTCCCTATAAAAAAGAGTGAACCGACTTAGTTCAGTAGTCATTCTGCTTAATTCTAGGTACCGAAGTGAATAAATATGGCTATGGAAGTTAATTGTTCACCCATTCAGAATAACTTACAGAGTTTATTTTGTTTTTATTTCTCCATGTTTTCATTTGATTGGTCTGGAGTCTAAAGAATTTTAAAAATTTTCACTTCTACTTTGGTCATTATCTGTGGGAATTTCAGCACCTCCTTGGATAAGCTATTGAGTAGCCTCACCTTTCATTCCTCTATCAATCTCACCTGCAGTATCCTTTCCTCTAATTCTATGATACCCATTCCAAAAATCTTGTCCTTGACCTTTTCATTTGAAGAGCTTCACTCAATTGCAGTTTCAATTGTTTTCCTCGCCGATTTGATCACTTTTGTTCATTTACCTATTAAATCTGATTCATGAATTTCTTGACTACACTGATACCTCAAGACCTCCAATAAATTCATTAATATTATGCTTTTGTTGGCACTTAGCCTGCATTCCATGGCCCAATCACTATAATCATTTACTTGCAAAAACTTAACTCCTTTAACCACTTTTTCACTCCATTAACTCACTTGGCTCATTTTCAACCTTGGTTAAATGCAACTACCTCCGTGGTGTGTTTTGGGACACAGTATTGCTGAACAAAAAATGCACAATTTATAGACTGGTATCCCTTTAAAATTTGGTCAGGAGTTTTCAAGCGGGGGTGCACATTTGAGTATTGCTCAAGAGTTCTACCGCTTCTTATTAAAGAGTGTTCTCTGTTCCTTTTTATTTATGTCAATAAAATTCTTGCTGTTAATTCCCTAGGAGAGAGTATTTCACTTGTACACAAAGGAGATAAAAGTGAACTGAACAACAGTTTTGTGCCAAATGTGGGCTAATACTTTATATATCTATCTGATAGAACCTTCTAAAAACTACTAGATTATCTGGACAAATTATTTTTCACACTAGGAAGAATAAAAATCTCAAAAACCTTGTTAAGTCAGACTCTCTCTCTCTCTCTCTCTCTCTCTCTCTCTCTCTCTCCTTACTATGGGTCACTCATAAGCTTATTTTTATAAATGTTAAGATACTACGTAACTTACAGCGTTTGCTTCCTTCATCTCTTGTCTTTCATTTGCTTCTAATTATTCTACCTGAGACTTCAGATGTCTGCCCTTAGTCTTCTATATTGTTTTGCACTAAAGGTTTCAAGTCAGCTCCCAGGATCTTTTCTTCCTCCCTGTCCCTCAACCTCTCCTTAAGCATTGCCTGAGTGCAGGAAATGAAAAGCCTACCAGGAACAATTCTTTTTCTACATGCTATCCAAACTCCCACTCTCCTCAGTCACCAATGTAACCCATACTGACATTGACCTTTCCCTTCTCAGAGCTTAGAAGCAAACATATCTGAGTGCTGCATTCTTCTCAACTGATCTTCATGCTTTATCTCTGCAACTGCACTTCAAGTTCTAAAGGGGCAGGCAGGGACTATGTCATGGCTTATGACATCTTTTATCCCTACTACTGTCTTGCTTTGCTCACAGTTGACCCTTATACATTCCCACTAGATGACTGTACCATTTCACACAGCAGAAAGCTGAGATAGCAGGAAAATGATGATAAGCAGAAAAAGAATCATACAAAGAAGTGTGGGAAATGAGAGGAGTGGGGAGTGGAAACTCAAATCTCAGGGAAATGACATTCAGTGTAGGTCTCTGGCTGAGGCTGGTTGCTTGTTTCCTTAGAAACCAGACAGAATGAGATTTGTCATGAATCCTTCCCAGAAATGGATATGATTTATTAAATTTTAGTATAAGAAAAGAGTTCAATAACAGCAACACTACTACAATACACATGTACATATACATACATGTGTTACACTGTAATAAGAATCAGGGAGAATAAGTTCAATAGACATAGTTTAAATTCCCTCTTATAATTTAAGCAGATGAAACTGATTTTAAAGGATTAATGTAGAATCAAATAAGTATGAGAATTAAAGATACAAAGTGAGCCAAGTGATGAAGACATATTACAAGGGGACATGAGAAGAGACAATCATAAGTACATTCAGGATCTCACATTGAAACACCTCATAGAAGAGGGAATATGTAGATCTAGATTTCTCAATGAGACATCCAGGAAAAGAATAAGTGACGGTTTATGAAAATACTTTGGGAGGGAGTCAAAGTCATCTTGTAACTGCAACATGTCTTGATGATAAAGAATAGAATAAAAAGCAACCAATTGCAATAGTCAGTTAAATTGGAATGTTACAAAACCCAGAGTGTTGAAGTTAAAGAGTTGGTGACAAGTAATATACATAGAAAGACTCTGGCAATTCTTCTAAATGGAAAAAGAAAGCAGAAACTATAGCAGCTCAAGGAAAAAAAACTAGGTTCAGTGTATATCTTCTGTAAGGGAGAATGGCAAAAGAATACCTGTCATCACCATTCTGTCATCAAAAAATGCACAATCTACCAGGATAGTAGGCTAGACCGACAAAACAAAGGAGATATATTGGAGTGATAAGATCTGGACGTGTAGCCTGGTGCCAGGGGCTCAGGCCTGTAATCCTCGCTACTCAGGAAGCTGAGATCTGAACATAGTTCAAAGCCAGCCTAGGCAGGAAAATCCCGAGAGACTCTTATTTACAATTAATCACCAGAAAACTGGAAGTGGTGCAGTGGCTCAAGAGGTAGAACACTTGCCTTGAGCTGAAGAGCTGATGGATAATGCCCAGGCCCAGAGTTCAAGCCCCACCACCAACCAAAAACAAAAAAAGTTCTGGACATGTGAAACTTATGGGGATATGAGGGGAAGACATTTTTCTTGGGAAGGGTTGGGGAGATAGATCATCATAAAAAATTACAGAAAAGTGACATTTGAACTGATGTGAATATATCAGCTCACACAAAGGGATGGGTGGATAAAAGCATTCCAGCCACTGGGAGTCCTACATAATGTGTACTGGATAGGACAGAATGAAGGTCTAGAGCTGAAGGGGAAGAGTTAGAACAAGCACCAAAGAAGCAGGATGCCCCGGAAATGCTGGGGGCCAGGTTGTCATACGCCTTTAAGTCTGCTGGAAAGGTTGAGTACTATTCAGCAGGAAATAGGGTACTATTTGATTCTAGATAAGGAGTGATTAGTCAGGTGCCTATCAGGTAGAGATGGGGTAGATGTAAGGCTAGAACAAGAGAAGATTGATTTCAATGACTGTATCACATCCAGAACCCCTAGCCTGATTGTCAAGGGGCTTGCTAAAGGACTCAATCAAGCTTCTTTTTGGACTTAAAGGCAATGAATCAGGCCCCATGTTTAAGTCTTCTAAAGAAATAGCTATAAAATGTGCAGTAAAAAGAAAGATAAATAATATTCCTAACATTTAATTAATTTCTCTTTTTTATTTTGCCCAGTTTAGTGCTATGCTACACTCCTGATGTGAACAATCTAGACATTGTTCCATTAGTATATTTCACTTTTATATCAAGCCTCACAATTTACTGGTTTTATTTAGGGTAATGCACTCGTACCTGACATATTTACATCATTCCCATTTATTATTAAAAACAATGTTATGCTTAGGTATTGAGGATCAATAAGACCTCCATAATGTTTATACCATCATATCTTTTATGGCAATCTCAGAGTGTTTCAGGTTTGTTTTTATAGGTGGTTTTTAAAAAGGCAATTTTATAGCCTTTACTTTATCTTGGGTGAAAGACTGGCTGGCAAAATTCCTTGAGTATCTTTGTAAAAGTCTTCATGGGTCAATGGATATATGTGTATATATATATATATATATATATATATACATACATATATATATGTATACATATATGTATA